ACGGAGTATATATTCTGTCAACCATCTTCCTCGAGATGCACCTTCAGACTGACACTTTCTCTTCTATGAAAATWCTTTTATTAAAAGTTGTTTATATGACTTTCCGAAAGTTGCGCATGTGTATAAAATCAATAATCCACCTAATCAATAAAATTTATTTGTTATTGTTATATATTATTTTCAAAATATCCTTTTATAAAAGTATTGAGTATTTTAACTATATAAAATGGTATATAAAAATACAAACGATATACAGTATCGTAGGTATTTTTATCGAATAATGTTACAATACTTTTGGATTCGTCGTGAAAGGTTTGTTCGTGCGAACAAGGGTTAATCCTAGGTTAGTATAGCAGTAAAAGAGTAGATGAGGTAAAAGGGTTGGAGGGTCGATCGGTACCAGTCTCGAAACAGACCATGGTTCTACGTAAAGTGGGAAGGAAAGAAAGAAAGAAAGAAAGAGAGAGAGAGAGAGAGAGAACAAACTTTATGCATCGATCGATCATGCCAACGGCGAAATAACATATTTTTTTTGTTCCTCTGTTGTTGCAAGACCATCCTGGTGAAAATGGAACGGGTATGAAACTTTTCACAACCTTTTTTCCACAGTTATATTCATTTTTTATTGATTCAATACGATGTTGCATTATTTTCTATTAGGTATATTTTTTTCTTTTTTTTTATACCCAAAAATAAATTATTTTCAATCGAATTATTTTCTCTTTGTTCATAGGGATTCGTATTGGGGTGGAGGTGGGGTGTGGTTGGTCTTGTATATTTATTCGATTTATATTTTTTTATTTAATTTTCGTAGGTGTGCTTGTTTCTTTTTTTAATTTATCGTTAATCAGTTAATTATCTTGTTGACGAGAATAGATTTCTGGGATAGATTTTATATCGAAATATTAATGGTTTTTTTTGTGTGATAGTTAAATATTTTCCCTACAAACAATAGTTTGAATAATGTTAAATTATTTGAACATTATGAAACTTTTTTTACATCATAGTAAATGAACTTTATAATTATGAGTGCAATATCCTATAAATACTCTGAGCATAACCCTAATGCAACCCTAATGCAAACTTAACACTTTTATGGTAGTTGTGTATACCTGATGTAATATTTATATAAATGAAAAGTATAGTCCGCTATATTTTATTGAAATATTTAATACGTTGTTGTGTCCAAATGTTTTTACAACGTTCCAAATCATTTTGTTCTTATTTTATTTTTACAAAACGTTACAAATATTATCGTCATTAAAAATAATATTTTCCTTACTTTTAAAAATTAGGAAAAATCGTGCAATCAAACATTCGTATAATATTGAATGCTGCAATAAATTTATCAACATTTCTTATTTTCATTTATTTTCGTGTTATTTAATCAAGTATATAATTAACCTAATTGTTCAATCGAATAAAATTAAAGAAATTGAATCTATATATCTTGAAATAAAATTGCATACTTATATACATACACACAGACGAAATATTTGTTTTACTAGATGTTATATTATTTCGAAAAGAATACTAGAAAATATTCTAGGGAATGTTTTATTACGGATATTTACAGATTTCCCAAGGATTTATGATCTTGTGAATAGAAGAACAAAGCTAGCACGTTGATAGTTCGAGCATCGATCCATAAAAATGCATTCTAGATACTTCAGTGTCTATATATCTATCTACAATACAACTCATATGATATATCCCCCCATGTACACAACAAATATATTTATCTACCCTCAGCACGTTTATCGATTTCTCTCTTACATTATTTTTCTTTCTCTTTCTCTCTCTTTCTCTTGTTCATTAATTCATTCTATCTTTTCTTTTTATCTTCTAATCGATGACTGCATTTTAAACACACATACAAACACACAACTTGAAAATTGAATTATTTACATATCATTTATCTTACAAAATACTGTCTCATGATCATTAAAAAAAAAAGAAAACGAGTATTGACCAATTGGAAAAACAAAAAAAAAAAAACAGAAAAAACTTTATAGAAAATGTAAAATTTGTATTCCCATTAAACGACGAGAGGAATAAACTATACTATCAATTTGTTTACATTCTATCGAAATTTCTTTAAAATTTAAATCCTTTCTCAGGTAAAAGTAAACTAAGCTTGAAATTGGTAAACGAAATTGGTAATCGTCCAACTCTCAATTGAGATGTAATTCACCGATAATCTATCTTCCTTCCCCCTACCACCCACCCACCCCTTTTCTTCTCTCTATTTGATAGGATTAAGAAAAAAAATAAAGAAAAATAAGAGTAAAAATGGATATAATTGGAAACGAATCCAGTAGAAAGTCGAGATAGAGAGAGAGAGAGAGAGAGAAAAAGTAAATAAAGAGAAATAGAGAAGGTTTTTATTGGTCAAGGATTAAATAGAGAAAGGTTTTAGTGTTGAGAAAAAGGAGAAGGGGAGGGGTAGGGTACTAAGGGTTGGTTATAGTGGCAACATTATATATATATATAACATTATATAACAATATATATATATATATAATGTTACAACTATAACCAACCCTTATATATATATGTATAAAATCTTTCGTCTTTTAAAAAGCTTTCACACCGATATATATTTTTCTATCGTTTGTTAGATTTTCTTTTAACCGGTACTTTTCTCACGTATATTCAATTCATTTTTGCCGACTTCGATGGTAATGGTGGTGGTGATGGTGGTGGTGGTTTGGGGGGGAGGAGAAGAAGAGGAATGGGGTGGAAAGCGCCAGAAAAAGCTAGTTTTAAGCTGTATATTATAGTTTATCCCTTAAAGTAGTACTATTACGACGTGTTGGTTGGTAACACATGAAAGATATATATTATATACTATGAAGAGAACGTTTTTTTTTTACTATAACCAGTTACGGGTTGTTCGATCTTTTCCTATCTTTCTTAACTTTTATCGGATTCTTCGTGAAAGAGATAACGTTATTCTCGATATTTCTCAGGTCAAACCTAAATTACGTACTTTTCTTTTTCCAAGTATTTTTAACACGTAAACCCTACAATTTCAAATTATTTTCTTCTCTCTGACACAATGTGAAAATTAGAAAAATATTTATTGTTAAATATACACATTTTTAAGATACCTATTTGTAATATATAATTCTAGTTAACGTTATAATTTAAGTACACATAATACACATAATAATGTAAATTTTTAGATGAAAAAAAGAAATATGATTTGATTTAAAAAATAAAGAAAAAACCGATTACAAACATTATTCACACATTTGAAATATATAAATCATTTTTAAATATTTTTCTTTTTTTTTTTATTTATATCACGAATTATAATATCTATTACTTATATTTTATTCGAAAAAATATACAGAGTAAAAGTTTGATATCTCATACTAGACGCATATATCATAATCCGATGCTGCCATTACCCTCCACCCCCTCTCTCTTTCATCCTATATATATATATATATGTATTTATACACATATATATGATAAACGATTGATACGATCGATTATTTTTACGAGAAGCCTTTTAGCGTTTGAGAAATGGGAGAGGGAAGGTGTGCTTGTGTGTGTGTGTGTGTGTGGATTGGGAAGGCACTAAAAGCCATTTTTTTAACGACAAATAACACGCTACTTATCTCTAAATCCTTATTTATTTTCCAATATATTGGCAATAAACGTAGTCACCATTTATCTCATGATATGAAATAAAAATCGATCATGGAAAGTTTGAAAATGGTTTTAAATGGTTACAAATTGATTTATTTTTAAAATGGGTTAAAATTTATTTATATTATATATTATATACAAATTTTATTATATTTTTAAAATGGGTTAAAATTTATCATTCACTTTGTACGCGTTTGATCGAACCATTAGTAAGAAAGAATTTTTACGTGCTTGAACCACTCTTTGTCTCGAAAAAAATTAAATATATTATTTATTTTTTACCACACACAAAAACCCGTCCCCACCCCACGTTTTATATTATTATATCTGTCTCTGCTTGTTCCATTTGTTTTCTTTTTAATCTTTCTCTTTTTATATATGTTACCGTCATAGACGGAAATTCGCCATTGCTAGTAATTCCTCGGCATTGTTATCAATGCAAAGTGCATTTCAATGAAGTCAGAAACAAAAGAATTCTTAGTTTTTTTTAAGCATTGAACATAATACTTTGATATTCTATAGAATATCAAATTAATATTTAAACATAACAGAGATTAAATATCAGAAATTGCAATGCTGTAAATTGTACAACTTTGCTAATTCTTTGAAAAGTTTTGGTAAATATTTTTTATACTAAAAGTGAATAGATTTTAATGAAACTTATATTAAATTAATGTACACTCTTTTGTCAACGCGTAGAATACTTTGTCGAGTTATAAATTGATCTGCAAAGGTTCAAAGAATGTCAGAGAATGCAATGCTGTAAATTGTGCATCTTTACAATTTCTTTGAAAAGTTTTGCTAAATATATTTTATACTAAAAGTGAATAGATTTTATTAAAACTTATATTAAATTAAAGTACACTATTTTGTCTACGTGTAAAATACCTTATCGAATTATAAATCGATTTGCAATGGTTCAGGCTAGATTTTCTAGACATTAATTCATAGAGTTTTCCATGGAAATCTGTATCTTTTATTCACTATCATATCGGAAGATAAACACAGCTTTAGAAAAAAATATTTTTTACTTGTATGGATTTTTTTATTATATCGCTTTCGGTTTGAAAATAAAGTATCAATTTGTCTTTTTCGAACGATAATTTGTTATATTATAAAAATTAAAATCTAGGTAGAAAAAAAAAAACAGAAAAAAAAGTAGGAAAATAAAGAAATTTACCTCATTTTCGGTGGTACATCATTCGTTTCTTCGGCCAAGTACAAATCTTCCAACGCTAATTTATATTCCTTCATGCAGGTAAATATTTCTGCCCTTTTCATGTATGCCAAAAGTAAACTGCTACCATAATCGACCGCTTCCAATGCAACTGCAACAGAAATACTTTCAGTGCATTTATCGAATTTAGAGAATGAATAATGCGTTTATCAAAGTTGATCATCTGTCATTGTCAGGTTAGGCTGTTTAGAGAGAGAAAGAGAGAGAGAGAGAGAGAAACAAGAAACCTGAAAGAAGAGTTTCGAGAAGGTTTGAACAATTTATTATCTCGACTAAATCATTTAGAAAATGAATGTTACCTTCTAATTATGTTTTTCAACTTGTTACGTCTTGAATACAATTGATATGCGTGTATTCCATTTACCTAATAAATTTTCTTTGTTCTTAATATTTCGTCAATGATTTTCAAAGATTATCGACAAATTAGTTTTTGGTTTTTTTAATTTTTAAATTAATGGTGTTCTTTTTTGTTTTTTTTTTCGGAACCCTGTGTGTGATTTAACTTTTTCAAGAGTTTCACGAATTGTTGTGTGTGTGTGTTAAGATATATCAAATAAATCGTATTAATATCATTAATAGTGTGTGTGTGTTCGAACATTTAACTTCAAATATTTGTATCCACTTAATGGTTTTCAATGAATCCTTGAGAAAAAGTATGAAAACTTATTGTTAGTAAATTACTTTCGATGAAGGTATTTCATTGTATAATTCGATCGTTGAAAGTTCGATTGAATGCCGATAAATATTATACTTTCGAATGATGATTTCCAAATTTCATCTTAGCTATCTATAATATTTCTCACATTATGATACGTAAATATAAATATCTAAATGGTTTATCTCTCTCTAATAATAACGTATTTCTATACTTTAAAATATTATTTTCAATTCTATATAAATATAAGTATAAATTGTGTGTGTAATTTTTCGTAAATTAAATGTGAAACAAAGAGAAAAATATGAAATAACGCGTTTGTTTGTTGGAAAAAAAAAAAAAAGAAAAGAAAGGGGAAAAACATGGAATAAAAATTCTTACAATTGGAAGGTGATCGCAAGACCGATATATTAATCAAACTCAATGCAGATTCGTATTGACCACTACTGATCATATCAGTTGCATCCATTCTCCTCATCTTAGCCGTAACAGGATCCTTGTCTCTGGAGAAAGTATTAACGTGATTTAATGTCTCATGAAGATGTTCTTTCAATATGTCATTAGTATAAATAGCACGTAAACGATCCTCGTCGTTATCGATATCTTTAAAAACTGTTTCGATCCATTTCATACCGACCAAGCCTTTCATCACTGTTGCAAATTCGTAAAAGAAACCTTCTGTGATAGAACAAATGGTCTGACGATTGCATATTTCTTTGAACGAATTACCATCTTTATTAAAATCTCCCTTGAATTCCATCTTTCTATTTCTATAACGTAAACACTTATTTTTCCTAAACTTCCAAATGTCTTCACTAATTAATTAATAAAATGAACAATATTAATTTCACTTTCAACGAGATTAAATTAACAAAATTATCGTAATAATACACTCCCAAACAAAAATGAAATTCAAAGTTTAATCATTCACGAAATTAAACCGAATACAAATACGGTTTTCATTTATTATCTTCTAATCTTGTTGGTTGAATTTCAACAAGGTTACGTACTCACACATATATACATATACACACCGATCAAAACGTTTCTTTTAATTTTTTATTCCACTCGTTATATTCACGTACACATACACAGACACTTAGATACACTTTACATATATATATATATATATATATGCTCACACTAACACTTTTATTGAATTATAAACAGAAGATCGAGTATCGTATACACCAGATGATTCGGATCGAGAAGAAAAGTGGTTTATGCGGTTCTAGTGGTTTCAAACGTGTAACATGGTTTCACCAAGCTCGATCTATTCCTGGTATACACAGTTTGACCCATCCTAAACGTGTACTCTCTATTCGGGTAACTCAAAGTTATGCTAACAATGAACAACGACAAGAGTTACCATTTAGTTCACTTCCTCTTATTCTTATTCTTATTTTATTCCTCCCCCTCTCCCCCTTTTATCCCCTTTTGGCCCCTTTCTTATTTATCAATATATTATATTATGTTGAAATTTTCAAAGTTTACACTAGGGAGTGGGAAAGTAAGAAGTGGGATTGGATGAGGGGGGTGAGAAGTGAGGGGTAGGGATGATAGTTCAAATCTTATAATGATTATTTAAGAATTACCTGACACATGTTTTTTTAATTCTTAAAGAAAAACTTTTAAATTCCTTATATGAGGATTTTACTTTAAAGACAGGAAAGTATTAGACTGCAGTAGCAGAAAAAAAAAAAAGAAGGAAGGAAGGAAGGAAGGAAGGAAGGAAAAGTCTCTTGAGACACGTCCTACGTGTTTTATTATTCCACCTTCTTTCTCTCTATTTTATTTCCTTTCGTATTTGTTTTTTTTTTTTCTTTTCCCTTCTATCGTTCTCTCTTTCCTTCTCTTATTCGACGTTAGAATAATTTTAGATGTAACCCCGACTCACTGCATGTGATCTTATTTTCGTCGTTCTAGAACGTGGATCAGCTTTGCAATACCTATCTTACCTTGGCAGAGTCGTCATCTAACGGTGTTCGTGAAGAAAAACTTCAAAATGAAAAGTTTAATATTATTTTCATATTTTTGTTAATCGATAAAATATAATAATATTATTTTCATCTTATTCTTATTCTTATTCATTTTATTAGAACTTTGTCCTGTTATATTAGCTTCTTTTTTTTATTACTATTTCTAGGAACGATTTATTGTATTATTTATTATAATAATATTATAATATATTATAATATTGATTGTGGGTTCTTATAAGTTTTTCAACGAAAGAAAAAATTGGGTGGACTCGCGGACGTGTTTTTAATTTCTTTTTTTTTTTTTTTTATTATATGACATATTATTTTGTTTTTTTTTTATATCATATTTTCTCTTCTTTTCTTTTTTTTTTAATTTTATTTTATTGTATTTTATCTCGTTTCGCATTTCTTATTTTCTTTTTTTTTTTTTGGGGGGGTTTTCGTTACGTAATAATTTTAACAGAGAAATTTTTTTTTTTTTATTATATGACATATTATTTTGTTCTTTTTTTTTTATATTATATTTTCTCTTCTTTTTTTATTTTATTTTCTTTTACTTTATCTCGTTTCGCGTTTCTTGTATTTCGTTACGTAATAATGTTAACAGAGAAATTTGTTCCCGTTGTTGAAAAAGGAATAGGAACATTTTGTTATATCAAATTTATACGAATGAAGAAAAATTGATTGCACCTTAACAACATATTCGGTTAGTTACATTGGGAGGAATATTAGCATCGGCATCGATGGTAATGTTTCCTCGTAAAATCGAAATTGTCTTTGGTACGTTTTAACTTGGAATTTCTTTTTCCTTGTGATAGTTACGTTAGATTTTTATATTTATTTTTATCTCGGAAGGATATTTTTTCTCTGCTCGATCAACTGTGATCTAATCCCCCTTCCCCCTATCCCTCCTCCCACCCCTTACTCCTCTATATACATTGCGTATGCAATCTCGAGAGTGAACATAATTTTTGTAACTACGTTTTATTAACGTTTTTCATTTAAAAACGTCAAATAGATTTCTTTTCATTTGTCCCTTCGTTTTGTTTTTTTTTTTTATTAACTTATCTCTCTCTCTCTCTCTCTCTCTATAATTAAAATCGTTGATTAATTGTATATTTAAGTTATACATTATTATTAAACGTTTAAATATATAATATATTTTGCATTTTTAATCGTTGACTAATATAATTATCATAATAATGAATTTTTTTTTTTATTGTGTGATATTGTTATTACATTTTCTCGAAACATTGTAAGAACAAATTTTTGTACGCATCATCGATTCTAAAGGAACAAAGTTAGTCGTCCGTCGACGTGTCTATCGAAAAATGTCTTCTTGGTTGTTAAACACCATAGTTGAGTTGATCGATAAAGAGAACACGACTTGTGGTTTTTGTTTTTTTTTTTTTAATGGCCTTCTTTAGATGCAAAGTGTTTCGTATGCGATAATGGTAAATGACTTGTAAGGCATAGCAAGCAAGTAATACGGACAAGAAACGCACACGCACACACACAAAGAAATAAATAGAATGTATAAGTGTTCGTTAGATAACATGGTACGAATATTCTTACGTAAATTTTAATGACATTTTCATCGAGTACCTAATGAAAGACTTGAACTTAACGCTTGTTCCCCGAACCTAATTTTCTTGATCTCGAATTTAGATAAAAACATGGATAGATAATCAAAAAGAAGAAGAAGAAAAAGAAGAAGAAAGGAAGTAAAATAAAAATTTCCTTTTATCCTTAAATTTTTGTTAATAACATCCCCACGTGTAGTAGTAGTACCACAAGTCTTGCATAACAAGTGGAGGATATGCGAAGAAAAGCTGAAAATGTGTTTAGACTAGGGTCGAGGATTTTTTCTCGAGTAGGGTGTGTATCCGAAAAAGTATCCGAAGTACTCGAGAATTTCTTTTTAGATTTGCAAGCATTTTGGAAACACCTCCCCTACACCCCACAGCCCCAAAAAAAAAATATTTCGATGAAGAGAATATTTTTCCTATGTTTCTACTAATTTGATAAATGTTTGCAATGATATATTATTCGTAAAGTGATACTTATATTTGGTTTATTTCTTTTTAATTTATCGATCATCTTTTCATTTTGTGATATACACGTATATATAGATAATTAAATAATATTTTATTCATATAGTTAGTGTTAGATCGAAGTTAATTAGAGTTCGTGTACGGGATAAGCTAATTAGTAACGACAAACTGCTAACGTATATTGTCGGTCTTATTACATTAGATGGTGTTCATTAAATGCATCCTATTACATCGATTTAACAAGATCTAATGGATTTTCCTTGTTTCACACATATATATATATAATATAGTTTACCTTTCAAATGAAATATTCAAAATGTTTTTCCGAAATATAATTGACATTTGGAATTTGTTTCCTACGAAATTTTACGATCGTTTTTAAATGATCAATATTTTCGTGCAATATATTACACCTGAAATTATGCGAAATATTTTATTAATAAGATATAACTTTCACAATTATTGTCATTTAATAATTATTTTCAATTTATAATTATGTATATATTTTGAGAAAATTGTTTGAAATTTATTCTATTTTACGAATAGATGTTTTAGATTTAAGAAGAAAATCACTATAAAACTCGTAACATATTTCAAACTATATTCATGAAAATTCTATATCGTGATGTTAAAGTTCCTTGCTTCACGAACATAAATACATGCAACCACATATAGATATAAGAGTAATTTTTCTCAAGGGAGAGACTATACATTCTCAAGAACGTTGTTTCTCGTGTTATTGTCAATGTATCATTTAAATGTAAATTTTGCGTTTACTCTGGTACCTCCATCATCTATCTACTCTACTCTCTTATTTTCCATCCCTTTTCATTCTCTTCCTTCTAGTTCTCTCTTTCTATCTTTCGTATATTATTACGAGAACTATGACATAATTTCAATAGAATTTAATCGTTAGTAATCTTCATTTTCGCAAAATGGTCTTCCCAACTAAAACTTTTCCAGCTGGTTTAATCATTTGTATCAGAAAAAAACAAAAGTAACAAAACATCTTTCCTACTTTGAATTATATCAAGATTTATCATCAAACGAACATTATCAAGGTTAGATTTTTTTTCTTTCTTTCTTGTTTTTTATTTCATCGATAAAATAAATTTTCTACAAATTGAAAAACTAACTTTTATAATTTAGGCATATTTTGTTCTTTGCACGAGAGAAAGATATTCACGCAAAAATTGAATATAACAAAAGACGAAGGTAAAAGTAAAATGTAATATATATATATGTGTATGTGATAGGTGATATATAAACCCAGTTAATTCGTTAATTAATTTCACAAAGCTAACTTCCGTTGTAACCGTTCGAACGATCATTAATGTTTCACCAAGCGCAAAGATACGTTAATAGTGTTGCAATAACAGTAACAGTCCAGTAACAGTAACGAGGAACAGAATAAGCTAATTGCAGTTATCTCTAACTTTAATCAAATTTTCTTTCAACGATTAACGCATTTCACTACAATATCCTCCTATCTTCGTTGTATACGTAACAGGAATAACAATAATTATCGAATCAAAATTAACTGTATTTGAATTAGGATTGTTGTGAAAAATATTTAAGTTATAGGGAATGATTGAAAAAAAGGAAATAGAAATAAAAATAAGAGAATAGAGAGTAGTGAGTGAGAGATTGAGAATGTAATACAAAAAAAGGTTGATACTATAACGAGGTGTGGCGGGGGTGGGGGT